AAGAACTCCTGCATTCGAACTATAAATTAGTAAAACGCTCAGTAGCCAACACAAATTTGCATAGGCGTTTAATTTCCATTACCATTAAGAAAAAAAATCTTGCGTTGTTTCTACCTCATCTTTTTCCATACAGCTTCTGCAGATGGCGTCTGGTAGGATTCCAGGTCTGAGAATTCCTTAAGAACATTCTTTGGCATTTATATTTTGAAGATTATCTCTTTCAATTGTTTGTCAGATAAGTTGAGTCCAATTTTCGATGACTAATTCGAGCATTTCGACTGGTTTTTGGCGATTGACATGCGTAACGTTGTGCTCCAATGCCTGAATAAAAGCGGGATCGTCCGCATATACTTTAATCTTCAACGTCTTTATCTTTAAGTCTAACAAAGTGACATCACACCGACCCAAAAAATTATCCCCGTAAAATTATCTTCTCAACGAAGTGTTCTCTTAATAAATCCATTGATTGTTGTGATGTGTGGAAGGGCACCGTCTTTAAAGCATCAAATAGTCAGTTATCATGAGTGATAACGGTTGCCATTGACGATTACATTCACACCGCCATTATTTTAGTAGTACCTGTATTTGGATCACCCGTTACTTTACCGTAATTTATGCAATTGCACTATAAATTACTTCAGCTCTCCATTTTAATAATATAATAATTTTCGGCCTTCCGGTTGAGTTTTCTCTCATATATCCAATCCTTTGAATTGCATGTTCTTGGTTAAGCTTAAATAAGTTAAGATTTATATTTATACTACGATGAACATATTGCTTTTGGGAAATCTTCTGTTACCCATTTAAATTTATGTTCAACATTAATGCTGGAAGATGATGTTAAATACGTTTCCCGATATGTACGTTCGGAGACGTCTCGAAAGCTCATACTTAAGAACATATAAAAGTTGTACATTGTTTACATGCCAAATAACGCACCCTCCATATTCCATAAGAAAACATCGAGGATTAATTTTTTCAGAAAATGAATATGCCAGAAGATTTTTTAAATAAAATAAATTTGTATTTCTGATTTTAAGAGCTTTTACTCTGCGCAAAACTTAAGTTGTGATTTCTTAGAACTCTAAATTGTTTGAAATTTGAGAACATTATGAGAACAAATGCGCGTCGTAGTAAAAGGAATGAGTTTGCATTGAAATTTTTTTTTTATATTTTCCAATGGCAAATTTATTCTCATTTCGTAGTAGAATTTTGTATCGCTATTAAAGATTAATATTTTGCAAGCAAAAGCGATACAAAGTGCTAATATGGTTAACAATGTGGAATATATGGTACACCACGTGGTATGAGTGACATTTTCATGGCAAATGTAATACTAAGGCGTAAATACATATAGTCATTTCAAAGGCATCCACATGAAAATAACACAAACTAATGTTAATTCGAACACTTACAACACAAATTATGCTAATAACTACAACTTTGTGTCTAATCAAGCGTTCGAACAATAACAACAACAATGTAAGTGCATGCAATTAAAAAAACAAATCATAAGAGCATTTACTGGGAGTGCGTGGGTTTCCTAAACTCTATGTAGGTGGCGCAGCAGCAATTCTGCAAATGTTGCACTTAGCAGCGTTGTCCGTTATATGCCACTCTGTCTTGCAATCGCATCTAAAATGTTTGCATACATTCACAGCCGTAGCTTCAACGGAGATGTTGGCAGCACTTAAATTGAAATCACAATTTCCGCCAACGTGCAATCAACTGTGCAACACGCTCACTCGCCCACTCTGCCACACTTAAGCGTGTGCTTGCACATCCATCTATTTTCATTACAAGTTGAAAACTATTCTCACACAAATGTTTAGAATCATGAGTTATGAATTTGTAAGGCCGCGTGCTGTAAATATCTGTATGTTATACTTAATGACGGTATGTCTGTGCTGCTTTTACTTATGAACGCTCTCATATATCTCAAGCATCGCTATTCTCTTGGGAAATGAATATTAAAAATTTATTAAAGTTTAAATTCAAAGTTTGAATAAAAGAAGGATATCTACGTCGGATATTCATTCATTTAAAACTTTGTTTTTATTTGGTTGAAAGCTAATTCTCTTCGATCACTCTATTGAATAATAATCTCCAAAATGAGCATAAAAAAATAAAATGCTAAATTCCTCTCGAAAATAAGCAAATTTTAACAGGGCGGCACAGATGAGAGTGAACTTTGACAGTGACGCCTTCGAAGATAAAAGTGGGATCAAAAATTGTTATCAATGTCTACAAGAAAAATAAATGAAATAGAAGTTATTCACACTCAAATATTTCTTAAGGCCGTACCGATTTAATGGAATCTTTCATGCTCTCGCAATTTTTCCACGATCAAATGCGTATAAATATGTATTTTTAGGTACTGACAAAACTCTGTATTAAACAAACAGGAAGGACTAAGTATGGGTGTGACCGAACATCTTATGATCTTAAAAAATTTTTTAAAGATCAAAGTCGGGAGTTATCAAAGAGCTTTCTATTATCAGAAAGTGATGCTCTTTTCTTAATATTATCGATATCTTTTCTTAATATTAGTGATATAAATATATAAAGTCAGAACATATGCGATATCAGGGAACTAAAAACTGTAGACCATACATTTTCTTAATTTTTATTATTGACATATCTTTAAGGGACGTTTTCTTTAGTGGCGTAGTAGCGCTTAAAAGATTATAGCCGAGTTTATGACAGGGCAAAGTTCTCACTATTTGGGGCCAATTGGAGATTCCAATTATAGCCAAGTTCTTCTCTACCTCGTCTTTCTAACGGAATGGATAAGCAGAATCTTTCTTTCGAAAACTCGTAACGCCGGCTCATCGATGTTGTAACCGTCCATACTATAAAGTAGAACGGGGATCATGAGTGATTTGTAGAGTTTGATTTTTTTCGTTCAGAGAGAGGACTTTACTTCTTAATTGCCTTCTCAATCCGAATTAGCACATGTAGTCAAAGGTTATTCTGCGTTTTATTTTGAGGTTGACATTGTTGTTGGTGTTACGGGTTCGCAGTTAAGTGGGAGCCAAGTCGCGAGTGCGACGACTGTTTGTCTGATGACAAAAGATATAAAGGGGTGGCCAAGCCCACTTTAAATTATTTTTACTTTAGATGTCGCTTTCCTTATTTGAATTCTCTAATTTCGACTTTCATCACATTAACTTATGATAGAAAACTTTTTCATATATGCATGATACTAAGAAATATTGTACATTTTGACCTTATTGAACTTCCAGTCGTCAATCACCTCAGGTACTGTTACAGTTTACAGTTGCTGTTCCTCTGAATGGCATGACAGCTGACGTCGATTGTTCAGCACCCCGCCCGCCATTTCCACCGATGAAGCATCAGTGTTTGAGTCAAGGTTTTTCACGCTTTGGCACGGCTAACACCTTACCATTCGTAATCAAATAGTGGCGCAGGGCGCTCAAGGCAGCTCTGACGTGCAACTTTGTGACTCCTTGGGCAGATGTTCTGTGGCAACTCCGCCTTTATTAATTTCCATTACGGTACAATTGTAGAGTATCGAAAAAAATGATGGGGTGAATTTCTTTTACGAGTCTTGTCGTCTAGCGCAGAACCATTAATTAACACCAGAAACTTTTGACGCTAAACGCTCAGCACTTTTGTATTTGATTAATTAATTCAGTTATAATATTAAATAAAAAACAAGTAAGGAAGGGATAAGTTCGGGTGTCACCGAACATTTTATACTCTCGCATGATAAAGTGATAATCGAGATTTCATTATCCGTCATTTACATATTTTTTTATTTTGTTGTAAATTAATTAGATTAGATGAATTTGTGTACTTTGAGTATTGAATTGTATTTTCATTTATTTTAATT